ACTCTAGAGGATCCCCATTCTTGTATCTGATAAGCACAGGATCCAGAAGATAAGCATGGATGGAGACCTTATAGCATCAGTTGGTGAGGAGGGCAGCGGACTATTACAATTCAATTCTCCTCATGGTATATCCATTTTTCCTATAACAGGACAGGTATATATTGCTGATGCAAATAATCATCGTATATAAGTCTTGAATCCTGATCTAACCTTCTCTCATTTATTTGGTAGTAGAGGATCGGCTAATGGACAGTTTCAGTCTCCATATGACATAGCTATTGACAATCAAGGATTAGTGTATGTTGCTGATAGTGATAATCATCACATTCAGAAGTTCTCTGCAGATGGAAAGTTTGTGGGTCAGTTTGGTACTTATGGATCTGGTCCTGGTCAGCTTGAAAAGCCAAATAATATAGCAATAGACACTGCAGCTAATGGTCTAGTGTATGTTAGTGAATGGGGTAATGCTCGTATATCAGTCTTCACAAGTGATGGTGTGTTTGTTAGCTGTTTTGGAAGTGAAGGCAGAAATGTTGATCAATTTAGCTATCCTTTTGGATTAGCATTTAACAAAAATGGATTCTTGTGTGTTTGTGATACTTCTAATGGGCATCTTGTTGTTTATTAATTTTGTTGTTCGTTAAATATTTGTAATAATTATTTCAATAACACAAATCAGCTCATGCATGCAATTTGGCTTTTGTGAAAATTTTAAACATAATGATTTATGATTAAATTCACTCATCAGATATCATTCACTTATACTGCCTAGTAAAAATGATATACTCTTGGAAATTTTGGCCACAATAAACTCGCTATACGATAATTATCAATAATATACATGTATTTGCTTTTAAAAGTAACTAATGAATTTTTCTTTCCATTTTTGTACTATCCTTTCTCTCTCTCTCTCTCTTTTACAGTATCCTAGTGTATCTTGGTCATCTTCTTAATCTACAATACTATACCCCTGATCTTTTCTGGAAGAACTTGAAACAAGAGGGTCAACCCATCAACATCTTAGAACACCAGGTACATCACAAAATCAAATCCTATTTGACCGTGCCTACTTTCTAGGACGCCTCCAGTTTTTTCTCAAGCTTAACTGATCAAATAGACAAGACTCATAAAGTGGGTGTGGCTAGTTATTAAAAGTTATTAATAATTCTGTTACTAGAAAAGAAGTCACAGTAAAGTGTTTGAGGAGATTTGGTAGACAGTTGTCGGACCAAATCGTAAGTCACAGCTGCGAACACAGGTGCTTATTATCCGCCATTTTACATGTACATGTAATGTAATGTAGATGTGCATGTAAATTATCATGTGTGCATATGTACAATGTACATGTACTTATGAAGAAATTTTGCCATTGCTTTGTTCTATTTATTTTTACTCATTTTTAATTCTTTATCTTTCATTCTCTCCCTCCCTCTCACCCCCTCTCTTTCTCGTCTTTTTGCTCCTCTCTCGATCTAGCAAGGTTTGACAACCCTCCAGCTCTCAGTGTTGGGGTCTAAGAGTCTCACTGAGAGTTCCCAGGAATTTGTGCAAGAAATAGTAGAATTAGTGAATAGAAGAGAATTTACAATGACAGGGGTAGTCCTTGGTAAAGAAGGGTGGGGAGAGGTCAAAGTGGCTGGTTTTTGTGGTCTCAAGGTTGCTGCAAAGTGTCTCTACGAAATCGTCATCTCTCCTCATTAAGGTTGCTGCAAAGTGTCTCTACGAAATCGTCATCTCTCCTCATTAAGGTTGCTGCAAAGTGTCTCTACGAAATTGTCATCTCTCCTCATTAAGGTTGCTGCAAAGTGTCTCTACGAAATCGTCATCTCTCCTCATAACTAGTGTTGTTCTAGTTCTTTGGAACTAGAACTAAAAAGTCATTTAGTTCCATTATTTTTAGCTAGTTCTAGTTCCAAGAACTAAAACTATAACTAAACTAACGGTTTTCTAGCTATAGAACTATAACTAGAACTAGAACTAATAGCTAACTCTTCTCTGAACTATAACTAGAACTAGAACTATTTGTAAATTGATGTTGGTACTAGAATTAGAACTAGAACTATTAATTTTATGGAACTAATGCTAGAACTATATGCTATTTACTGCATAAAATGTTGCCAACTGCCTTGATTAGAGCTTAAATCATTGAAAAAAGGGTCAAAATGAAGGAAATAGAACTAAACTAGAACTAGAACTACACTAGAACTATGGAAACTAGTAGCTTAAAACTAGAACTAGAACTAAAACTATGTAGAGTATATGCTTGGAACTAGAACTATAACTAGAACTAAACAAAGTACTGATAAGGAACTAGAACTATACAAACTACAATTTTGGAACCAGAACTAGAACTAGGACTAAGCAAATTAAAGGCTCAGAACTAGAACTAAAACTAGAACTATTTGAAAAATAAGAACTAGAACAACACTACTCATAACATTACGAAATTCTCTCGTGAAATGAATATTGCTTCTAAAATATGTCGTCCTAACCTCCTTCAGTTCTTGGGAGCCACTACAGAGGGTAATCCAATCATCCTGACAGAGCTAATGCCCACCAGCCTAAGAAAGGAATTAGAGACTGGAGGACTGGCCTATCATGCTGTACTAAACATCAGCTTAGATGTAGCCTGTGCTCTCAATTACCTTCATCTCTTCAAGCCTCATCCTATACTACATAGAGATGTCAGCAGTGCTAATGTACTCCTTCAACCAATGATAGGAGGATGGAGGGCTAAAGTATCTGATTATGGTAGAGTTAGTCTCCAACCTCTTGCTAGAACATGCAATCCTGGTAATCCTGTCTATTCAGCACCTGAAGCAGTCAATCCAAGGCAGCACTCTCCTGCAATGGATGTCTTCAGTTATGGTGTCTGCCTTATTGAGATGGTTCTTTGTCAGTTCCCAGAGGAGAGGCTCAGATTAAAGCTATTAAGAGGCCGACATTGAAGAACCTCGTTGAACGTTGTCTGATAGAGAACTACAAACAGCGTCCAACAATGTCTGACATTATAAAAGAAATAAACGAAAGTATTTAGTAAACATGTTGCAATTATAGACTAATTTTTAGCTTTGTTGCTTGCCAATGGATTCATCGATTTTTCTTCCTTTGTATTCTTATGGTTATTCTAAGTCTTTAATTTTTTGAAATTTGTGACCCAATATGAGAAAACCAGGCTATCTGCGGGAATTATCAATTGGAGATATGGCTTCTTAAAGTTGTGACAGCGGTACCTTATCAAAACTGAGATTATACCAAAAATATATTGTATAAAGAATTTCCATTCATTTGATACCAAGCTTGCCCTAAAAGAACTTGAAAGAGGTCATTTACAGACCTTTCTTTTTGTTGTGTACCATGTAAATAATGCAAGATATAATGATAAAAATGGCTGCAACTCAATTTCATTCGTTTAGACTTCTTGTTGCATAAATAAGCATTACTCAGCACTAGATGTGTCAAATGACATGGAAGAAGGACCAAAAGATAGGAAAAACTTTGCTTAATTAAGAAAACCATAAATCTCAATTTTCAATTTTGGAGCATATAGCCTGGTTTTCTCGTATCGGGTCACATTTGATTAAAATTAATTTTGAAATTTTATTTCAATAAAATTTTCATAATAATAAGTTAACTTTCACTTCTAGCATAATATCCAAAAGAATTTTAGTACAGTTGTTGTATGCCCATTAATAATTATTTGTCTCTGTATTTTCTCATAGTGAGTGATAAACACTTGTCTCTTACAGTGGTCTTAACCAAATCTGCAAGTACTGAATCAACTGGTGGGGAATAGAGGAGAGAGAGAAGGAGAGGGGCAGAAATAAGATAGTAATGTACATAATGATATTATTATACATGTACATGTACCTCATTCTGCTCCTTTTCTAATTATGGTAGTTACCTCTTCTGTGAAGGACAATTAATAACCTAAAACAACAATATCATACAGCCAGTTAATTTTGGTTAATTTTTCATTGCAAATAATTATGGTTTGCTGATTAAAGTTCTGCAGTATTGATAGTTACTGAAGCATAATGTATGTATTATAGTCATGCATGAACTTCATTTTTATTTTACGCTTTCAATTAATCCTTAACTCACAAAATTTAATTCTCCACATTCCAAAAATATTTGTACACAGACACATGTACATGTGAAAATACGCATTAATGAGTATTGAGTATACCTTTGTATTCTTCATTGTGTTTCTGAGTGATACTTGTCATCTCTTCTCTCAGTTTCTCAATTTCTTTACTTTTCTCATCAACAGTCTATGAATAATGTACATGAGGATGTAAAATGTATTCTCATCCATAAGGACCGTAACTCTCCATTTCTCTCTTGTCCCTCCCTCTCTACTTCTCTTACTGATTCCATTTGTACTAGTGCTGATATTGCTGCTCCTTGTATCAATGAGAAATATTATTGTGCTCCACCATCTAAAATAAATACAACACGTACATGTACAGGTACAGCTACACGTATAGATCTACATATGTATAAATTATTCTAAACAATGGTTGTTTGAAAATTTGGCCAGCTAGAGTACAAGGTATTTTGCCAAAATGACTAAAATTATTATTTATATAATTTTTTTAAGTTGCTCAAAAATTGGGCAAATAACAGTATAGGGTCCCAGGCCAAATTTTGACAAAATTGAAAAGTGGAGAATCTACTAAGTTTTGTAATTTATTCTGATACATAAACAGTAGCTACAGTACATGTTCTTACGTTTTGTAGAAAGTTTAAGCTGATTCCAATCAAAATTGGAATTTTTGTGAAGTTTTAAATTTGCTCACAATCAACTCACCTAACATTGTACGTGGCCTATACTATAAAGCATGCAATACTTGGCCAAAAAATATCCTAAAATACTGGGAAAGAACTCTTTATTAATTTTGGTAAATTTTCTGATGCTGATAAAAAGGAACTTAAAGTGCACATACAATGTACATACCGTATAAGTGCTTTTTTCGAGGGTTGCAAATTTTACAGATTCTCTCCTGATTTGCGAAATTAAAATCCGCAAAAATCACTTTAATACGGTACCCGCATGGCACACATGGTAGAATTCACAAAATTAAAATCCACAAATTGGAATTTTAGCAGATTTTGCGAAATATAATTCCCTCAAAAAACTACTTATACGGTACAAGCACATGCTGTGCATTAATTAGAACTCCTAACTAAAAGTACATCAGGTTTATTCCCAGTGTTGATCCTAGCTCTGTCTCTAGTGCTAACATGACCACTCATTATAAGATCCTCTATCTCTTTGTCTTTCTTCACTAATTGTTTATGATTTTATCACTTCTCCTCTGAATATGTCTCTTTGTTCTTCAGTGGCTGATAGGTTCTTCTTCATTGCCGTTAGCTCATCACGAAGATCCAGTGCAGTTTTACCAGCATAATCCACTGTAGAATCAACATCAGTTGCTACATAATAATAATAATAATAATAATAATAATAATAATAAATTAATTAATAAATAATAGACTTGTACTACCTTTGTTTGAAGCTGACTTTCTTTTAATAGGTACAAATAATCCATTTTTGTAAACTTGTGTAGCTGTTTATAATTAACATAAATAAATAAATAAAATAAAATAAATAAATAAATACACTCTACCTTTGACTGGTGATGATCTTTTAGTTGATGGAGAGTGATGAGGTACAACAGATTGACGTGGTGGAGCAACAGCTGCCAAATATGGAGAACGTACTAAAAATAATAAAATAATAAAATACTGTAAATATATAAAGTTTTCACAAATTTTGTCATAGTATTGATTTACCTATTGATGAAGCTCTTTTAGATTTAACAGCTCTGTGTGTTGGTCTGGGGGAAGATGGTGGCTGTATTGTCAAAGGAGGCCTAACCTTCTCATCATCATCTTCACCATAAAGAAGATTTATCTGTAATGGAACAGATATGGGTTACCATAGCAACCACACAACACCCTCTTATTGTAAAATGTCCTCTCTTTCTTACCAGTGAACTTGATGGAGTAGAGGTTTCTAGCATTTTGAATATAAATAGGAATTATAGTTAAAATTACTAATCAAATACATCAAGTTCAATCCAAAGCCAAGGGAACAAATGCTCCACCCACAAACCCTAACACTAATTTAAAAGGTATAATGTAAAATGTAAGCTCCACCCATAGCCCCACCCCTCAGTATTAATTAGTTATTATGTACCAATGGTATCATCATTTATCTATTTACTTTGTGGAAGGATCCGATTTCCTTATACTTGTCAGGGACTGCCATACAGTTAAGATCATCTTGATCTCTAATTGCCTGCAGTGGGTCTTATACTGAAATGAACACAAAATGGAGCCTACTAGTCTCGCCCCGCCCCTAGGAGCCCACTGACTTGGAAATCACCACAACAGAGTAATAGATCTATTTTAATTCCTTCTCTCTCTTGGATTTTGAGTAGTTTATCATAAATAAGGTCTAACTTCCCATGACAGTAACCCTCTATGGCTATCTAGGGAAGAAAAGAAATAATGAAACATTAACTTTTTAATACCTTCATTTTGAGTAGGAGCACGTGGTTGAAGATTACGTACTCAGGCGGAGAGTATGCGGAGAAATGTGCTTGTGGGCGTTACCTTAAGGAGACAATTGTTAGCGTGTACTTATTTTAGCGATTTTCATGAAACTGACATTTGGCTGGTACTTAATTTAGCGTTTTTGATCATTTGGTATTAATATACTCCTAGAAGAGTTAAAGGGGCGAGCCTAAGCAAGTTATAGATTATCTGCTGTGATCTACATGTATGAGCAAGCAAAGCAATTGCACAAAGTCTAAACACAGTAGATCTTGTTGCATTAATCTTGCTTAGATTGCTTCATCACTGACTCTGAAGCCATTAACATGTAAAGTTATCTTGCTTACAGTTAGAAGCAGTCACTGAACGAAGAAGATTGTCATCTGCTTTGCTAACCTAGGCTAACTGCTAGAGAAGTCTTTGAGCAGCAGTTTAGTATTATTTTGCTGACCGTTTCCTGCAAGTAAGTTCTGACTTGCTGACGGCCGCCATTTTATTCATTGTGACCACACCCACTTTCAATGAAGAAATTAAAATTAGCGCGAAATTCGCTAAATTAAATACCCGCAAACAATTGTCTCCTTAAGGTACCTCGTAACAAAATGGCAGCTAAAGGTCCTGGAAAAGGTCAGTCACTATTAGTGTATCATTCAGTTAGTCAGTTACTGTTACCTCTTGTTATCTATAGACTATCAACCAGTGGAGAGGAGACACCACTCCTCTGTACGGGTAGGAGACTACGTGTATATATGGGGTGGGTGGCAGCCTGATCTCCCTGAAGTACATAATAATGAAAAGAAGAAATCAATGTGTTCTGTGATGGAGGTGTACCACTTAGTGACTGGTAGGCGGGAGCAGAAACTCACCACTGGTAATCCTCCACTGGGTGTTATTAGCTATGCAGCTGCTGCCATTGGAAATGAAATATTTTATTTTGGAGGCGGTTGTGGTCATGATGACTGTCATCATAATAGTTTATACAGGTAAACATGATAGTTACTGATAAATATTATATAATATTTTATATTTTATACAGTTTTAATGTTGATACCTTCAATTGGAAGGAACTCTCTCCTACTACATCTCGTCATGGTCCTAGGATGAAGGACCGCTGTGACATGATAGCAATAAAAGTGAACGGTGAGGACTATCTTGTAGTAATTGGAGGAGAGGGACCGTCTTCTAATAATGCACCAGATCAACCTGGTGCCCAGTATCAGGGTATTGGTACTAATAATGAAATACATTTTTATAAACTCTCATCAGGTCAGTATAACGACACATAATAATATTAATAATGTATTTTATTTATAATCAACAAACTGATCATTAATTATATTATATATATTTATTATTTTAGGTGATTGGATATCACCAACTGTCACTGGAGACAGACCACCTCCTATTAGAATCTTCACTTTAACATCAATTAATAATTCCAGTGCTATATTATTTGGAGGTCTCACTAATGGATGGAGTAACAATGTATATATTCTTAATTTTACTGATACATCAGTGGTGAGTGTATTATTAGTATAATTACATTAATTACTATTATTATTCATGAGCCTGTATGAATCTTTTTTATGATAATTAATTTTTTTTATTTTAGAATTTTTTAAAGTTATCTAATCCTGGAGGATCAGTACAATGGCCTAAGGAAAGATGTGATCATTCCAGTGTATTGATTAACACTAGCTCAGGACCACACCTACTAGTGGTGGGTGGATGTGTTACTTCTGATCTTTGGATATTTGATATTAAAAATAAATCATGGAAGGAACTGGTAAGTATAACATTATATTGTGGGTGTGGTTTAGACATTTTGGGTGGAGTTTATGGTTTTGGACAAACTATTGAGGAATGAGTTAATCAAATTTTAATAACAATACATGTACATGTACATGTACAGTACGTGACAATGAATATTACAAATTATATTTATTATAATCCTCCTTTATAGTTTAATATACCAAAGTATGTCACTGATAGATGGAGTCATTCTCTCTCATTGTGGAGTGTGTCTCCAACCACTAACTGGATAATTGTGTTTGGAGGAGCCACGTCATACACTGATACACCAGTTATTGAACTCAGTGAGTACATGTAAATACAAATGTATTGAATATACACAATTTGTACATATTGAATATAATAATTATAAATTAACAGTATAGCCTTTTGGTATAGGATATTATTTCACCAGATTATCTTTATTAACTGACATAATAATTCAAAATAATTATATAAATGAATTTAATTAATAATCAGTGCTTTCCACTATACAGTAGTAGCTGATATTATATTAATTATATTATACATGTACATGTACTTGTCATTAATTCAACTATTGTGTTACTGTATAGGATATACTAGTAATAATGATTGGTCTACTAGTATAATACCTCTGGACCAGTATCAAGAGGAACTACACGAAAGGAGAAAAGAATGGGAAGCATTTCAATCTGAAGATATAGACCGTCTGACACGTGTACTACAAGAAAGGGAAAGGGAACTACAGGAGGAGAGAAGAGAAAAGGAACAAGTTAGAAACAGACTACAGCAACAACTTCAAGGAAGAGAACGACAACTTCAACAAGCACAGCAACAAGGACAAGAAAGAGAGAAGGAAATTCAACGGGCCAGGGAACGAGAACAGGATCTTCAACGACATCTTCAATCAATTAATGGTATGTAAATGTAATAGACTAGTACAGTTATTTATAGTTTATCTGAGATGGGGTCTAGGGAAGACTTAATTGGGCTGGCCTGTCTTATTGCTTGCTATATGCAAAGCCTGAATTAGGATATTTTCATTCTTGTACTGAATTTACCTGTCAAGTATTATTGATACATGTATTGTTAGTCAAAATTTAAGACCCATGAAATTACTATGTACCTGTACATACATGTATGTATACATGTACTTGTATAATACCCTAAAAGGGAAATTTTTTGTCCTATATAAGCATTCGTTGATCAGCTCATCCACGAAATTATTTCAAAATAAAATTTATATAAAGCGTATAAATACAGCAACAAAATTTTATAATACACGAATAATTAAAGCTATGGTAGAAAAGGACGGGGTCAGTAGTAGTATAAAAATGTCTATCACGCAGCACTTTAAAAGGTTCTTTCTAGTCCTGGTGGTTCTCTTTCTGCTGAAATTGATCCTAAGGCAATACAGGTAATAGATTCACCTATTATTAAGAAAATAGAGCACATCTTTGATACTTTCCTGGGAAGATAGCCTATGACAGTACTGCCTTTTACTGTACAGCTACAGCATATCTGTCTTGTGAATTTATTGGCTCTCTCATACAGTTAAGTTCCTCTCCAACAACCGGCGTTTATATATCTTGATAAATGTGATATCCTCGAACAGACAGCTCTACTTCATAGTCCTCCATTATCTTTGATTCCTCGTGCTTTATGGGTGAAAATAATCAAGTTTAATAATTATAAATTTTAGCAATTTTGTGGGCAGGGAGCAACAACGAATTATTTTCAACATGATTTTTTATCGCACAACTATTTATACAAGTGAAAATTTCCCATTTTATGGTATAGTGTGCATGATTATATTACTACTGTACTGTATCAAGAGTAGATACTTATTGTGAGATTAATGATACACTCTGCACCCGGTCAGTGACATATCATTGGCTTTATGCAGCTACATGTATACTGCCAATTGCTGGAAACACCAAGTATAATAATTTCTGCCCATTTTGGGCTGTGTAGTAGATTTTCATCTTGAAAAAAATAATTATTATCAATTTTTAGGGTGTTTTGTTTGCTATGTGCTTCCACTTTCCATAGTATTATACGTGTATGAATCGATAGAATCACAAATACAAGAAAGGTTTTAGATAAAATTTATCCCCGGAAATTTTTGACACAATGTACAATACTATTGGAATTTGTAATGGTATTATGTACTCGATTCAGATGACTATGTGAAAATATTTATACATCAGGGTTCTAGCTGCCTAGAAAAAAAATTAGAGGTGGTTGGAGACTAATACTGTTAATTTTAAATTTATTTACACCATAATAGTAGACTACAATGTCATGCTTTATGTATGGTTATGAGTATTAATTGCATGGTTGGTCCAAGTGATGAACTGGTTGGTTCATTTGTTGAGGTGGTTGCCCTGACCACCCCTGACCACCCCCGACCACCATAGGCAGAACATTACACATGTACATTCATGTACTTGTTTTTATGGGGCTACTATACATAGTGCAAATGACAATTATTAGTTGATTATCTAGAAAATCACAAGAAGCTTAAAGCAACACTTGCTCATAATGATGAATATATAGCTGATATATTGAAAGAGAAGACACAATTAGAGGAGAAGAAACAGATTATTACTGGTTAGTGTATCATCAGTACATAATATTATTATGAAAAAAATATTTTATTAATGTAGAAGATTATGAGATACTTAAATTAAAATTTACTGATGTAACTGAACTAATGCAAGAGAAGGAGGAACAATATCTCAAGGAGAAGCAGATCATTATTGGTTAGTTAACTATACACGCAGCATGTATTAGATGAGACAATATTTTTATTGTGTATAGATGACAATCAAAATCTCATTACTGAGAAAGACAAAGTTATAGCCAAACTGACATCACAAGTAGAGGAACAATCACAGAATGAGAAACAGATCATTACTGGTTAGTGTATCATCATCAATCAATAATAGTTATTAATATTCTATTAATTTATAGATCTTAAGGAAAAGGAGTTGATCATAGCCAAACTAGTGAAGGAAAGACAAGAGAGGGTCCTCAAGCAACCTATCAAAGAGACTAGTTCCATTGGACTACAATTTAATTACCTGATCCCTTCAATGGGTAAATTATTCATGTACATGTACACGTGTGAATGATTATGTGTGTACTATACTGGTAGTAGATATGATGTGTCTGTATTGTTTTAGATTCACTAGACTCTAGTGTCATTATAGCTGGACAGAAGCTCTTTATCCTACAAGGAGACAGGTCTCGCTCACTCCAATGGAAGAAATATGGATTTAGATTAGAGTGTCCTCAAGGAGCAGTGTCCAAGGATACTGAAGTAGCTGTTACTGCACTAGCTGGTGGTAATTTTAAGGTACCCAAAGGTACTATGCTAGTGAGTGCAGTATATGCAATATCAGTATCTAAGGCACTATTAAAACCACTGGTAATAGAGCTACAACATTGTGTGGATCTAAGGAACACTAGTCAGACTGGTTGCCTCAAGTTTGTGAGAGCTCCACTGAAGTCTCCTTACCAGTTCAGTATAGTTGAAGGAGGATCTTTTAGAGTTGGGAAAAGATACGGATCAATAAAGCGTGAGCAGTTCTGCTGTATGGGTATTGTAGCTGAGATGAGTAATGGAGACACACCTAGTGACAGTGAGAGTGAGGAAGGTTATGAGACACCACCTGAAGGTACATGTATCATGGAAATAGTGTTTTACATGTATTATTAATAATGGACAATAATAGGATTAACTGATGACACACATAATGATAGTGGTAATGGAGCAGGAGAGACTAGTGAGAGAACTGCCTCACCAATAAATACTGGACTATCTCAAGGTATGTGTGACTGTAATTGTGTTGTATAAAGTTTCATTTTCGTAATAAAATCAGTAACTGATGACTCTAACCAAAAAGTACAAGAAGTTGAGTCTACTTCTGGTATGTATGCATTGAATAATTTATTAAGCACATTCATACTGAAGTTTTGTATTATTAGGTGCATCTAATGTTAGCAATGAATCAACTGAAGATGAAGTGAAACAAAAACCAAATGAAGACAAAGGTATATGTCACAGTTATTATGTTTTAATTTATAATTCTTATACAGGAGTCACTCTACTGTACACTGGAATGATGTATCATGAAAAGAAAGAAGTTAATCAATGGATGACTACATTTTCTGTTGTTAGAGATTTAGAAGTCCTTCAGCAAGTATGTAATGTAATTTAGGAAGAATGTCTTTTATTAGACTTTTAGTATTTAGAGACAAAACATTCTAAAGCTGAACAAGATGGACCATTTGTCATATTCAAGTACAATCAACCTGATGGTATCCTTCAGTTGTGTCTACAAGATACTCCATCACTTGAATCAGGATGGACTGTACATCCTGACCAATACCCAATGCAAGTATGTACAGTGTACATGTGTATAATACACTGTATGACTGGTATCTATTATTATAGATACATCAATACGTAGTGGACAAGTTTATAGACAATCCTATGTGTTCCAGTATCCATATATCAGTGTATGCTGAAATTGGTGTTGCTAAAAAGCCACTTCATTGCCCCATTGAATTAACTGGAATAGATCCTTCAAAAATAATTTACATCAACAGATCACCTCCTCCTCTATCGATAAGTCAGTCAATAATTTTATGTAATTTTTGTAAAAGTAATTATTAATTTAATTTAGACTCCAGCTCTACTGCTGCTGTGGCTACTAATAGGCAGTTTGACAGAGAACATCAAAATGCTATTTTAGAGACTGATGCAGTATCTTTAATTTCGAGTTCATCCATAAACATTAAAGGTATAACTGATACATGTAACACTATATTATGATAGAGAGAAATCAAAGTGAAAAATTCACTCTTGTCATTATCGTTATTATATACATGTATAAGATAAAAATTATAGTATAAACAATAATAATAATAGTTTACAGTAAACATTATTCCCATTCATAATGTGACTGTGCATTGACGTTTAATATTTATACTATTATGGCCCATTAAAATTGACACTTTTATGTATTTTTTTAAATTAAAAAAAATGGTTAATCACACCAAATATTCCAGCTGTTGGTTATTAGGCTATCTTTATTTAGTAGTTCGCAAATTATATCTTTTAAGCTAATTTTGATAATTTTTCTCTCTAAATACATTTAGCTAGATGTATTTGGTAATTTAAAGTTTTGTGACATTAGATAAAGCCATAAACTATATTGTTATAATTATTTATCATTAATTTGTTTGTATAGCATCACACCATAGACTAACAATTAAAGATTTAAATGAAGTATTAAATGATTTGAAGAGTGGAGGGTTTTCTGATGAAAGCTTTTTTGGCCTTGGTCTGGAGTTAGGTTTGCATCATCGGACACTGAATACTATCAAATCGGACAACACGAAATCGGAAGGCCAACTTAGGGAGTGTATTTCAAATTGGTTGATGAGATTAGATGATGTTGATAAATGTGGAGGAGCAAACTGGACAACGTTATGCAATGCAGTAGAAAAGATGAACCGAGCAGCAGCTGATTTTATTAGTTAGTTATTATTGTATAGCCTAAAAATCTAGTGTGCCTATGATTTTTATATGAATAATTATTCTTGTAGGAGCTAAACACAATATATTGGCCTCACAACCAATGGAGCAGAGTATGTATCTTACTATTTTATTAATGTATTTTTTTGATAATTATTTTCATAGGCTACCCTCAAAATTATGTTGAACCAGACACCCAGACTACAGGTACACTGTGTCATTAATTAGCAATTAATGTGTATCACTAAATTTAATTTTGTTCTCTGCCAATTAAATGACATATTAGATTTTAGCTATATATACACTGTGCATGTACATGAAGGAGTCTGTGTGGTTTGAAACCATTCTCTCATAAAATGTACATGTTGTCATCTGCATGATGTAGAATTTTAATACAACTGAACAAAAATAAAACAATGTGAAGTTTTATCACATAATTATAATAAAATTGTTTTGCACATAGGTTCTGATGAAGGGGCACGAAGAAGATACTCACGGAAATCTAGTAAGTTCTATTATTAAGACAAAAAAATTACAATAAACTTGTATAGCTTATGCTATCTTTACTCCAAGTGGGACAGAAGGAAATGATGGTTCTTCATATACTGGTATATATGTATATATAATATTATGGATAATAAACATTATTTATTA